GGTGGCTGCCAGTTCCTCAGTTACTCTGGTGCCGCCACAGCCGGTGCCCGGGTGAGGGGCGCGCAGTGGTCAGCCACGCCCGAAGGGCGTGCTCTGAGGGAAAACATTTTGAAGACTTCGTTCACTTCTTGTGCCGTTTTTCTGCCCAAACAAGCCCCCCCCGCTCCTGCGGGTGCTCAAGGCAGGCACAAGTGAGAGTATTTACTGGCATTAATGTCGTGACAGCTTCGACAGCTAGTGAAAGCTGCCCTAATTACAGGTCGCATTTTAAAGAAGGCCCATTGTCAGTAGTTCAAAGTCACTGCCTTTTCAGTGCTGTGAACTAAAATTCCCCAGAACGTACTTCCAGTGCTCTGCTGACCCATACTGACCACATAATTCTGCCGACCCATTGTCTCAAAAGTGTACACTTTGTGTTCCCTAGCAAAGTAAAATGGCATAGTTTTTAATAGAAAAGATGTGGAATATTTGGCTATTTGCACTACTACATCTCCAGAACTGTTTTCAGAGCTGATTACTGACGCTTAGGTCTTCCGTATAACATGGTTCAGTCTTACCTGGCATTAGATCTACTTTTATTGGAATCTGTTTCAGGCTCAGATAGCTTGTAATTAACGTCACCATTTGCAAATGCAATGGAAGGGGGCAAGACCGAAGATGTCCGGGGTATTCTACGACTTAATGTGCGAGGATGCTTATACACTGCCAGGCGCGAGTCTTTATGCCGCTTCAAGGATTCAATGCTAGCTTCCATGTTTAGTGGACGCTTTCCTCTAAAAGTCGATGAATCAGGTAAATATGTTCAAGATGTAAATAGGACATTCTGACTGGGGAGCTCTGTGGCAAATACACGCTTTTGTATACATTTATGATCTTTTCTCCCCCAATTTGCTGAGTGTCAGCTGGCTTCTTTAGCTCCAGACTGTAAAACAATTATGCATGCATGATATTATACTTAGAAGTAATTCCTCTGAATTCCACAAGGCTATTCCTGTTTGCAAACACGTATGTTTGTACAGTGCTTATTCCTGCTTTGACCCAGCCCAAACTGTGGCTTTGGAATGTACTTCTTCAGTATGCATCTGAAAATAGATAAAATTGAAACTGGCGGAGTATTTGGCATTTAACTTGGATCCTGTTGATGAATCCTTGTATTCTCCAGAGGCATCACACTCTCACTGTTCATTACATAAGGAGATTTGGATCTAATCTTTGTGCCACAATACTTCATTACCCAGTAAAGATCGCATTTTTTCTCCACCATGGCTTGATATGAAAGCTTGAATAAAACTATTAATGGGTCAAATTTCATACTTGTTTGTGACTTAGAAATCCTGCTAAAGTATGTCCAGTGTAAAGATATGATGTACGGAGAATAGTACTCCTTGTGCACTCTTGACTTCAAATTATCTGAAGAGTTAAAATATGTGAGGGCAGGGCTTTGCTAGCATCTTTCAGCTGCATGACCAGTCTTTTGTACAGAGCTGTGTGGTCAGCTGCTGTAGTGGGCCTTGTGCTCAGCAGGCAAAGGAGAGAAAAAGAAATGAAAAAATGCTTTAAAACTTGAGCAGTATTTAGGGAAAGGTTAGATTAGTTGTGTACTGGATTAATTGTGTGCTTCTAACTCTTTCAAACTGCCTAGATCCAAAATCGAATCTGCAGTAGCGAGAAAAGATGTAGCTGCAGTTAGAATTAGAAATGCATCTGAATTGGATGTTAGCATTTTAAGGGAAGTGCAGAACAGCTGAGGCTGTTTGTTGGCATGGTCCTACACAGAGCAGTGATTTCACTGAAATGCCTCAGAAATGTTTACTTCACTAAGAATTTTATCTTTGAATAACAAATACTCCAGGAAAAACAAAGTAGTAGTTTTAAAAGAACAGTGACAGTATACTTACTCCTCCTGAGTAAGTAAAACTAGTACAGAAGTTTATATAAAGGCTTTATTCGATGATTTGGTAGCATGTGATAAGTCTGTCTTCACTTGCTGGAAGCAGTTATTTTAAATAATTTTATTTATGTTTTCAGGAGCATGTCTGATTGATCGAGATGGAAACCTGTTTAAGTATCTTTTGGATTATCTTCATGGAGAAGTTCAGATTCCTGGAGATGAACAAACTCGAATTGCACTGCAGGAGGAAGCAGATTACTTTGGCATCCCTTATCCATACAGTCTGTCTGACCATTTGGCCAATGAAATGGAGACGTATTCTTTAAGGTCAAATATAGAGCTTAAAAAGGTCTTGACATTTCTTACCTTTTTAAAAATGTAGTCTCTAATCCACACAACCCACATTCATTAGCAGCAGATACTAAGATTATAGTATATGCAAGTTACACTTTTTAATCACCACATTAAATCACCAGTAAATTCAGAGTTTTAGGTTAAGAAATGCTAGTGTTGATAATGCAGTCACAGCAGTTAAGGACATCAGCTTTGCCTGTTTTCATTGCAATACAACAACTGTGTAAATCTGACTCTGGTTTATATGCAAGTCTGCTGTAAAACTTTCATAGAAGGAATGACATTATTTAGTTCCCTGTTTGGCTTCCAGTTTTACTTGAGATGAGATTTGATCCCTTCAAGATGTTTGTGGGTTTCTTCTTAGTTTTACAAATTTATCCTAAAATTGGAAAGACAAGATGTGCTTTGCCATTTTTAGAACAAGAAAGGAGAGAAAACTAATATATTATTTTAAATCTTTTTTTGGTCTATTTTAGAGTATTATAACTTTAAAGCTAATTCTAATTGACTGATTGGAAAGTAACTACTATTACCAGGCCTGGCTGTGTTAGTCCTGACAGTCATCTTTCTTTTAGTAACCTGTTGTTCCATGTATTTCACATTCTCCCTCCCTCACTTCCTTTTGAAAAGCACAAAACATTCCCAGGCATTTCAGTTTCTCCTCATATTAGGGATTTGCCATGCCTTCAAGTATTTCTGTTGCCTTCTGTGCATTTTTCTTAGTTTTACAATACTCCCTGTGAACATCAGATAAGAAATGCTGCAAATTATTCTAGATAAACTATATTCCTGCTTTACTTAAAAAGCTCACCAGTACAGTTAAGAAAACGTAAATATAAAGGCTTATTCAACTAAAAAAAATGTATTCTTATTAATATGCTGTATTTGTTATATTATGTTTTTTCCAGGCTTTGTTAGATTTCTGTGATTCATATGATTTAGTTTGTACCAAGCCTACAGTTTGGGTCCTGCACTATCTCAACACCTCTGGAGCAAGCTGTGAAAGTAAAATTATTGGTGTGTATGCGACAAGAGCTGATGGGACTGACGCAATTAATAAGGAGCTAGGAACAAAAATTCATAGTAGAAGCATTTACAAAAGGTAAGATGACTGGCAAGCACATGAAAGCAGTATGAAGTCAGAATGAATGCTCACATATTTATTATAATACCTAAATATGATTATATGTAGCATTATATAGCATTTCCCCCGCTACTCAGCTCTGCTGAGACCCCCACCTGGAGTACTGCTCTGGGGCCCTCAACATCAGAAGGATATAGACCAGTTGGAGCGAGTCCAGAGGAGGCCACGGAGACGCTCAGAGGGCTGGAGCACCTCTGCTATGATGAAACACTGAGAGAGTTGGGCTTGTTCAGCCTGGAGAAGTGAAGGCTCTGGGGAGACGTTATTGCAGCATTCCAGTACCTGAAGGGGCTACAAGGAAGCTGGGGGGGGACTTTTTACAAGGGCCTGTAGTGATAAGACAAGAGGTAACAGGTTTAAATTGAAAGTGGGGGGGGGGGGTTAGTTTAGATATAGGGAAAAAGGC